CTGGTTAAATCAATCAGATAAGATGCACTGCTAGACCAAACTCACAGCACTTAAAATACCAGAGGGGGGTCAATAGATGACTTTTTGCCAGGTGTCTTGCTGCTGGTCTTGTCCTTCAGCTGATGAAACCTTCATCATTTATGATAGTGACATTAAACATATTTATACAATTGCCATAGCAGGGAAAGAAAAAGATAAGGATTCCTACACCAGCAATAAATATTTCCCCACAAGTGACACATATTAGCCGTTGTCACCTTTCACTTTCTAAACCGAGCTAATTGCCACACCTAATATCAAAGGAACAGTGCAATCTTTCCCTGTGGCCCAAAGGGCAGAGAACCAAATGTCAGTGAACAATGTATATTTCTGGCACAAAAATATTTCCAGATTTTAGAAGTCATCTCGTGTCCTTGTCATATTCTTTGTTGCAGCACGAACATGACCGTGCACTGCATCTTGCTTCTCTCAGCCTCTCCTGAGGACTCTCCATGGTTATCCCATTGCCCATTTGCTGGGACACCCCCCTCAGTCCCTGATGCTCTGTCACTTAGTCACCATATTGGACTTTTACTTGGGACTTGCTTTATGCATGCAGGTCAAGCAGGGGTTTTTTTGCCCTGAGGCCACCCAGATTTCAATGAGGTTTATATAAAATTTCAGCAGACATTAATGGAATTTCAAACCCTGGGAGAAAGCAGGATACAAAATCTCTCCACAGCCACTCATCAAGGACTGTTACATGACTCACATTGCTCACCTCTTTGCTGACTGAAATTTTATCTTCTCTTGGTTAGAAACCAAATCTCTGATATCATTACACATAAGTCTTCTGTAATATATGATTTATAGTTTAAACTTCAAATTCCCAATCCCCCAGAATTTAGAGTTTTATCTATTACACTTGGGTTTTAGATGAAACAAAAAACAAAAAGGAAAACAAAACATATCATTTTAACCACCTGATTATTAGAATAGAAAGAACGAGAGAAAGTATTGCTTTTTGCTGCGTTGTTTTGTCACACATAAAGGGAAATCCACTTATGTGTCTGCATTATGTTTCAACAAAACATTTTATAAGATCCATTATGGCATCCAGTGAATTATTTTTCCTGGTTTCTTCTTGCTATCCCATGGGGATAATACCTATAGAAGATCGTCCATGATGCCCAAATTGAAAAAGGAGAATACTTCATATACAGAAACTGGGAGAGCTAGGAAAAAGGACTGCATCAGAAAACCTCTTAAGATTTCAGATTTAAATAGATAAAGGAACATATAGATCTCCAAGTAGATACCAGAACAAAATGCAAATTGGATATCCCTACATACTTAAAAGATTTTTTAAAAATTCTCCTTTCTGTAGGACTTCTAGCTCTTCCAATATTTCAAACGCTGTAAGACCTTACAGAGCAATCAGAGGTTTTCATAATGAACTAAGCAACACATACCCAAGACATTCAGAAGCCACAAAAATACATCAAAAGTTTTATTTAATTTATTTATTCCTCTGAGCTAAATTTTGTCCCTCAATACAGATGTTGAAGTCCTATTTCCTAGTAACTCAGAATGTGACTGTATTTTTGGAGATAAGGCTTTTAAAAGGGGTAATTATCATAAAATTAGGTCATAAGAGTGATCTAAATCCAATGCGGCTTTTTTTCTAAAATAAAAAAGAAGATGAGAGGGGCTGGGGTTTTGGTTCAGTGGTAGAGCACGCGCCTTGCAAGCCTGAGTCACTGGGTTCGATCCTCAGCATCACATAAAAATAAATAAAGGTATTGTGTCCATCTACAACTAAAAAAAAAATTAATTTTTTTTAAGAAGAGGTGAGGATGTAGACTTGACAGACAAAAGGCCACAGGATGACACCAAGAATATAATGGCCATCAACAAGGAAATGGACCTCAGAAAAAAAGCCATCCTGATGATGCCTTGGTCTTTGAATTCTGGTGTACAGAATTGTGAAGAAATAAATTTCTGTTGTTGAAGTTTTGCCTGGTCTGTGGTTCTTTGTTATAGCAGCCCTTGCAAACTTAGATATTTATTTTGTCTATCTAGGAGCCAGAGAAAATCAAGAGGAAGGAGAATATTAATTTAGTTCATCACAAATCACACCATATAACTCTACTGTTGGTCATTCCAAGATTTTAGGGGGACTAAACCACTGAGCCACATCTTTCCTTTCCCTCACAATCCTTCAGTTTTATTCCTTGTATCTTCCCTAACTCTCAGTAGGACAAACCCTTAGACCATATTGATTTCTCTTTCTCTTCTCTTTTTTGACTTAAGACCAATGGTACCATTAGCACATCTCAAACTCTTTCTCCCTCATAATTGTGCAAAGTCCCACATTTTGCTGATAAGTCAGTGATGATTATATTTGATTTTTCATTAAGTTATTTAGGATTCAAGTCTTCCTATTCTTGTTCATTGAACTCATATATATTAAATTTCATTGCTCACTATTATTTCTTCATCCTGTGTCTTTTGATCTCTCCTATGGTTAAATTTTTTTTTGTTTATGGTCTTTCTTTAAGTGTATTTCTTAGATAGTATATATTCATGGCATATTGTCTAAGACTATGTATGTCTCTATCTATATATTTTTCTTTTCTCTTTTTAAGGGATCAACTTAAAACCTTTTATACCAACTACATAATGGCTGAGTATAAAATTCTATGCATGTTGTCATTTTTCTCAAGAGTATCAAATGATCTCCAATTATCTATTAGTTTCTCATGTCAAAAAATAAAACATATGCCAATGTGGTTAATTTTCCTAAGTTAGGAACTTGTTCTTTAGAGCTAGAAATATATTATTTTCTTTATCCTTGTAGTCTGCACATTTTACAAGGATGTACTTGGTTATGTATATTTTCTTATTAAATCAACCTGGATCTTGGTCAGCTTTTTGTATTTTCATACTCAAATATTTTCTGAGTCCAGGAAACTTTATTTTCAGAAGTTTTTTTATTAAATACCTTTCTCTCCTCTCCTGATTTTTCCTTATTTTTAATCCCCTTTAAGAGCTCTTCTTACGTATTTTCCTTCATGATTTTTCTTTATCTTTCTTTTCCATGCTTTGACATATTTCTTGTTCTTAAACCATCCAATGATGAATTCTAGTCTCAACAGCAAATATTCTTCCCTTTAAAATATATATTTGATTTGTTAGCTCCAAAATAGGAATTTGGTGAGTGCGTGTTTATATGTACATGTTGCATTTGAACATCTTCCAATGTGTCCTTCTTTATTTCCTAGTTTTTTAACTTCTATTTTTCATTTTCTTGCATGTCACCCAGCATGAATCATGAATTTTAACTTGATTGTTCTCTCTGGCTGCTCTGGCCTTTTAAATGTGAAGTTATATTTCTTCAGCAGTACATAGGAGCTCAAGTCTGGCTGGAATTTATTTAGGGTAGGATTTTTTTGCAGATGGGAGGCAAAAAAAATTTATCTCTGTCCTGTGTATTTGTTGATGACTATAAGTCTCTTCCTGAGATACCCCAAGAAGTCTCTTTTTTTTTTTTTTCTTGTTTCCCCTGCATGCTCACAGCCTCAGCCAAGACTCCAGTTCTAGCCTGGTCAAACTGACTGGGGTAAAGCACAGTGATCATGTACTTTCTTTTGTAAAAGAGTCCACACATTCCTGAACACAAATTCTTCCTGGAATCTACCACTTACTTTCCCCATTCAACTTGTCTTAGTTTCTTTTGTTGTGGGAACCAGGAATTTAACCAAGGGGGACTAAACCACTGAGCCACACATTCCCAGCACCTTCTTATTTTCACTTTTTTATTTTGAGACAGGGTCCCACCACATTGCTTAGGGTCTCAATAAATTGCTGAGACTTGCTTTGAACTTGCAATCCTCCTGCCTCAGCCTTCCAAGGCTCTGAGATTACATATGTGCACCATGAAGTTCAGCCTGTCATTCTTTAATTAACTGAGTAATTTATATCAGAGGATCCTAAGTGGAATCAAGGATTTCTTTCACCCTTAGTGACCAAAAATCTCAGAGGTTATGAAGCTCATCAGTAACCAGTAGCAGAGCAGAGGGTTGGGCCATCTTTAGGTTGCTTCTCTCTGCTACTGTTGTTATTTAATTTGGGAACATAGAGGTTAGTAAAGAATACCACGTAAAGAAAACAAAATGTGTTAAATATACAGTATGCTAGCCTATTAGAGTTTATATGAGCAGGACACAGAGCATAAGGCAGCATAAATGAATGGTGAGTATAGTTTGCTGTCTACACCTGAGGCATCCCTCTCTCCTCTTGATGTCAATGCCGCCACTTTTTCCAAACGATCACATTCTCATGTTCAGTGTGTGGAGGACTCCTCCTTTTCTCAAGGTAAATCATTGCCAATGTAGATTATTCAAGTTGTTATCAATTCTCCTGCTAATATCTGATGGAGCTTATAAATGTGATCCCAATCCAGGATTAGGAAGTCTGGTGATTTCTGACAAACATTTTCTTACTGATAAAAATAGATATATGTTTTAAAATTCCCTTCCTATGAATTGGAATCTTTGTGTCATATAAAATGTCAGTTCCATTTCTTATGTGAACAACCCAATTCCTTATTATTTAAACACTGTTGGCTTTCTGATACTTGAAGCTAAAAGCAATCTCGTACATATCACAAGAAGAGTGTGGAGTTCATTGTCACACCCAAATATGAATAGAAACTCTACAATTTACTTAGTCACATGAAGTTTGGTTCTTCATTGCTGGTTTTACTACTTCATAAGTTGTAGTGAATATTACATTTGATGATGTTATGCTTTATCCCTGTGGATACTGCATATATTTGGTAATATGGTGGCCCAAAGAAGAGGAAGGATCGAGCTATCACCAACAAGTTGGTTCAGATAATGAAATAAATGTCACCACACACACACACACAAAGGGTATGAAAAAGCTTAATCACACAATGAAGAATTCTGGAATTCTGGAAGGACAGAGTGGTTTCCAAGCCAGTGTGGAAACTCTTTGAACATGCAAAGGGGTGCAAGATAGTGAGAGATTAATTGTGTGTAGTGGGTGGGTTCAGGATGAGAGTTCCTGAGCACAAGCAGGACCTAGTGATTTGAACTTCCCTCTGGCACAAACCAAGGAACAGGAGAGCCTCATAATCAACTCTTCTAGAATTTGGGCAAGAAAGGAAGAGGCAGGTGGAGCCTTAAAACTGTCAGGGGCCAAGAGGAGGAGTTAGACAACATTACAGGTGCTCATTTAATGTCTCTTCAACCCATTTGTCATTTTTAGTGCTGCATCATAAAACAACCATTAGATTCCTTTTAGAGTGGTAGAGGAAACTGTGCTCTTAACAGGAAAATATAGAATGTATTGACATTATTTTGCATGTCTTTTCTGCAAAGGATGTAAAACTATGAACTGTTTCATACGTCTTTTAAATACTCATGTTATACTCCTATCAGATCTACTTTAGAATAAGATCTCAGGTGTAGCTCATCAAACAGATGGTAAAGAGATGTGTAAATGAATGAGTGAGTGAGTGATTGCTTTCCTGTTGTCTCATATAACTTCTATTTTAATTTCTACCAGTCTAAAAAACTGGGTAGGCAGGAGGTAAAAGGACACTTTATTTTTCATGATATTCTTCCTTTGAGATCTGGTTAGGCTTCCTCCATATTGACACTTAGTTTTTTTTTTTTTTTTTTTTTTTTGTGAACTTACCAAAGTAAAAATACTCATTAAGAACACTGGTGTTTCTTTCTCCTCTCCAGAGGTTGTACTCTAACAAACACCTGCAGGTACAGCTAACAACACTGTGCATGGAGACCCAGCACTGTTTTGCATAGCCTTCTCCGTCTGCTATAAAGATCAAAAAGAAGCATGAAGGAGCAGGATACATTAATGGACAAAAGATGAGTAAGTATAAGATTTTGACTTTCTGTTGCCCTTGAGAACATACATCGAAGGCATCGAAAGTTTCAAATATTGCTGTCAGCTGTTCTTCACTCAGTTTAGAAGAGGACAAATGCCCACTGTAATATCCCATCGCCTCCCAAATTGACTAGGCATGCTGTGCAAAGTTCTTACTATATGCTTCTTTCCAAGCTATCACATAAGCTTGTGAATGCAATTTTATACATGTTCTTCTTGCTCTTTATATAAGAGAATTTCATCTTTCCAGTTCACTGCCATGTGCTTTTAGAACAGAAGAGCATATAGAACGTGACTCATTGTGCCCTGGATCTCAGGCCTTCACTGCCAGCATCACTCTTTCCCAAATAATGCTTTCCCTTGGCTGCCTCCAGAACAGGTCTAAAACCCTGCTTGCCAAATCTATGAACAACACATAGAACCTCTACACGGCTACTTGCAAAGCATACAACAGTCTATTTCCAATTTCATTAGGGATGAACAAACATTAGTTTTACTTGCCCATTCAGTCTGTAGTAGCTCAATCAGATATCAATATTTCTTATTTACCTTTGCAGCCTGTAGTCCAGGTCTTCTTTAAGTTTTAGGTAAAAGTGGTTTCTTGAATATTGGACAAGAAAACTTCCCTCAGAAATGACAAGAAGAGGCAAGGCTTGGGTTTATTGTGGCCATTTAGAAGCCTAGAAGGTGTTCTAAGCAGTGTGACTTTTCCTCTCCCTTACATATCACTTACAGGAAAGACAATTCGATTTAGGGGAAAATGTTTAACCTCAGAAGCTAGAAAAGGGAGATGGAGTTACATATTAACCATGAATTAATTACTGGTGCACATTTCAGTTATTGAAAAGCTCAGGACATCCACATCTCTAATTGTAGAATGAGAATATCAAATTTCTAAAGTGTATTCAGCTCTAGAATTCATAGTAACTACATCTTCCTGTCTCCATTTCTCTCAGGTCACCTCTTGAATTTCAGTGTCTTCTTTTGTCCTTTTTCCATTGCAGATTGCTCTTTAATTTGGTATATCCTGCAAGTACATGTGGGAGGGATTGGGAAAGAAAAACAGCATCTACTGAGAAACAGATCTGATTCTGTACCAATGTACCAAATACTAATGTGAGAAACAAAAAAAAATGTCTTTGCCTTTGAGATTTCCCTACTGAAAAACAGGAGAAAAAATAAACACAAATGCTTTCACCTTTACTCTAGAGTATTCTAATATTTTTCACAGATTTAGTGAGATTGGCAAGATTTATAAGAGGTTTGGACTTCTTCCCCCTGAAAAAAAAATCTAATAAAATCCTAAAGCCAATATTTTTTTCTCAGCAAGCTTTCATAAAACAGGGTCAACACCTCACATGAATACACATGCATAAACCAGGGAACCAACTGTAAGTTTACATAGATATCTGGTGATTTCCATGTTTTCCTTAGTTGTTTGCTTAACTCAAACCACAACATGTGGTCATTTGGTTTTGTTTGACTTTATGATTATTGAAATTCTAATGTACCAGGCAAATGCTTATGACGAAAATCCTTTCTCTGTGGCCATTGTCAAAAATATTTTCCCCGTTTCCCTTGGTCTAACTATAATTTTATAAGTTTCTACTCTAATACTTACATATGTTTGAATTAAAAATAGCACTAATGTCAATTGCCAAAAGTCCCTGTGGAGAAATACTATTCAAGCAGAATTATTTATATCATGTCAAGTACTTATGATTACTTTAGATTGTGCAGGTTACTGAAGGAATTATGGATTCTAAACATTTCCATAGTGACTTGCCAAACTGCCTTGCTGTGGAGTTACTTGACTATTCAGAAAAATCAAATTTGATGTTGTTTATTGCCATCTCTGTCAGACTCTCCTCAAATAAACACATACCATGGTTGAACCTAAGACTTCAGAGTGTCTTATGGACACCACATTTGAGCAGCTCTGTGTTGATCTTCAGTTATGATCTCTCCCTATCTCAGTCAATCCTCAAATATGTATTGATCACCTACATCTAAGAGCCAAGCAGTAGTATTAAGGTAATGAATATCTAAAAGAATGATAAAATGCTTTCCTGCTGAAAGATATAAGAATTTTTTTGGAAAACAAAATTTCTACATATGAAATAACAGAAGAGTGATAAGGCAAGATAATAACCAGTCCTGAACCTTGTAATTCAAATTCAAATAATAATGTGCTAAGAATTTGAAAAAAAGTGAGAGATCAATAAAGGGCCTTAATAGTACTTTCACTATACAAAGGGATTCAAAGTTGAGGCACAGAGAAATTGCAAAGGAGGTAGCTGTGTGTATTATTTAATAGTCAAATGACCTGAAATATGAAAATGTCATGTTTTCCTTACAGTCAAACCTGACTTCTCTTTATAAGTTCCTCTCCATCTCTTCTGTTCTCTCCCTTCCCCCCCCCTTCTCTCTCTCTCTCCTTTTCTATCTCTCCATTATCTAAAGCAAGTTCAGTGACCTTTGCCTAGTTGGTTCCTGAGGGAAGAAAATTCTCTCAGAAAAATAATTTTAAAATCTTAAATGCTTAGCTTCTCTCATAACAAGGTCAATTTTTATTTAATTTACTAATGGTTTCACTATTATTTAAAGGACTAATTTCATAGTAAAAACATTTTGAGTCATCAACTACCATGTGTTCCATGTGTGAGAAGTTAACCAGGATGGGCCTTGTGAAAAGCCAGATGTCTGGGAATAGAAAACAGAAAAGGTATCAGAGAGGAAAAACAATCTAAGATGAGAAAGGAGGATGAAGATGGTGGCGATTCAGAGGCTTTGCAGGAAAATGATCCTTTATAAACAACAAGCAAATAAATATGAACTAAGAACAGTCTTCTGTGTTGCATAAAATGGGATTTTGTAGTTCCTTTATGTTTAATTAACTTTATCATCTTTGTTCTCAATTTCTGGAAAAAAATAATCATTATCACCAACAAGAAAGCAAATTATTATGTTTTCATTTGTTTATTTTGTAATTTTTTTGCAACTTTTGTTTTGTTTTTATGTTCAGTGAAGGGAATGATATCTACCAGGATTCTGGTATGGAGTGCTATGCTAAGGTCTGTAATACATAACTAAGTGTTTCGTGATGTTACTAAGTGTTTCGTGATGTTAAAAATATCAAATAGATTGAGATGAATGAAGACACACAACAGAAACATACTTATTAAAGCCTTAATGTCACATGATTTCCATTTTTTTCCTTGCTCATCCAAGACAAATATTGTGGCAAATAGTGTTTCTAAAATCAAAGTAATTCTGACTTTCTGTTCATACCATGATTTAGTTGTATCATAAACTGAAGAATGTTTTTGTTTTTCTCTTTAAAACCCCCATCTCAGGTATAAAGAATCAGATAGGCAGTTCTGCTTAATCATTCCTGTGCATTTACATTATAAGCAATGAATTATATTACCATAGATCTTGATATTAAAAACTCCAGTGTATTTTTGTAGTGAGAGTCTGTTGGCCTCTGGGAAATTTGAAATTAATAACCAAAAACACGATGCCATGGAAGAGAAATAAAACAGAGATAAAACCTGCTCTCTCAAGGTAATGTGCATATTAATAAATAACAAACAATAAGTGTCACTTGGCTAGTGACTGAATCTCATTTAAAATGCAACTTCAGGTAGTTGTGGAATGGCATGGTTTACTACCCTTCATTCATTTTTTTTTAATTGTCATACTGTAGAAGAAAAAGTTAAGAAAGTTTTTTACATTTACATATAATATAGAAATAAATCTCTTAATGAAACAAGTCCTTTTAGAGAAGAAACTTTAACACAAGAGAGAATCAGTCTTTTTAGCATTTCATTTTCAAGTTAAAATATAGACATCTTCCTCATATTTCTATAGAGGAATCAAGGAGCCATGTGAGAAGACACCTACATAAGTGCTTTGCACTGAAATATACCCACAGGAGAAAAAAAATTGCAGAAGTTATAAAGTCAGATATTTTTCTTTTCCATCATTTCTGCCATCAGCAGTAGCTTAGGGAGAAAGCCTTTAACTAGGATTAAAAATATCAAATGTTCTATTAGGTGACATTAAGTGTAATGGAATCTCAAGGTTGAATTAATTTTGTAGCTTCTCTTATCACTCCGAAGAAGATTACAATCTCCATAACTGGCATCCATAGTCAACACAGAAGACTTGAATAATTGGTGATCAATCATGACAACTGAATGACCTCATCCTTTCCAAATCTTAAAACCTTAGAGATCCTTATGAGAAAGAGTAAATAGTAAAACAGAGCTAGGCCTGAGTTTGATTCGCCTGTTCAGAAGTACAGTCTAACCTTGCACTTAAAATTTTTATTATACTATGCTAATAAGCGCATGAGAATTTTATGCATTTGGTAGTTACTCATTTAGGAATGTTTCATGTCATTGAAAAGTAATACATTTAACTACTAGTCAAACAACCTCATAAAATTCTCAGAGATAAGATTTCATAAAACTTGGACAGCAGTAAGAGCTAAAAAAAAAAAATTCATCTTAATGAAATTCCAAGACAGGTATCATATTTCTATGTGAAATAGTTTCACATAGAAGTTATATCATATTGAGGAATCTAAATTAGTATGAGTGCATCTTGAAGTCCAACATGGAGGGGGGCTTCAACAAATTCTCAAGACAAGCCCTTCTATGAAAATAAAAATATTTACACATCTATTTAGTCAGTGACAAACAGAGAAGAAACCATCTGGCCATTTGAATCAGTGTAAATTGCCCAACCACTCTTGTGAAAAGAGAAAGCTAGTCAAATTAAATGCTTATTTTGTTTTGGAGCTAAACAATTGTCCTAAACTGTAATCATGAAATCCACATTTGCAGTATCAAATAAACAAAAGCAAATCAGTGAAGAAAACTTGTTTTTGTGTAGTAATTGGCAGGAGGATTAGCATTTCAGTGGATCCGATTTCCTAAACCTCCTCATTCCTGATAACAGCTTCAGCAGCGAGGTGACACACCAAAAAGCATAAATTATCTAAAGCTGGAGATAAGCAGAGGCCATCTGGGGGTTCTGAGTGCAATATAAATAGATGCAAAACAGTAGGAGAACCAGCCCATTCAAAACCTCCCAAGGATTAGCAGTGAGAGCACTGACTCCATTGCTGTTGTTAGCTGTGATCTATCATCAGACAGTAAGGGAGACTGGCCTTATCTATGATAATTCAATGGCTTAATGGCAGTACCTTTATCTGGAGGTCGTAATTAAGCTTGTTTGATCAGGCTAAGAACAAGCACCTATGCTGTGCTTCAGCCCTAACTATTGCTTTTGGTGTCAGGGGTATAACATAATGATACCATTGGAAATGGCATTAGTACTTCTGTTCAAGTGCTGCAGTAAGTTATTACTTATCTTTAAGACAGAATCCCCCAAATTGTAGGAAGAACATGTTCCATATTTGAAAATTTGTATATGACCTATACTTTAAAAACAGTAGTAGCTTTGATCTCAGGTGTTTGGACAAAATTGAACATGACATTGAAATGAAGAAATATTGTGACATTACTTTCAACTAAGAAAAATGCCTATTAAAAAGAAAATGAACTGTCAAACATGTTAATAAATGCCAACATCTCTCCAAAAGTAACAGAAATCATAGGCGTTGATTAGAATATATATAATAAACCTCATTAATCTTGAACTGAGAGATAATCATTTAATTTTTAGAAATACCTGAACTATTGCTTTTTTTAGACAAGGTATCACTCTGTTTCCTAGGCTGTTCTTGAGCGTCTGGGCGTAAGTAATTCTCCTGCCTCAGCCCTCTGAATGTTGGGACTATAGGATCATGCCACCATTTCCAATTTAAATATTTTTCATATTGTATGTTTTTATACATAATACCCTTTTCTTCAAACATGTGTACATGTAAATATTATCTACACAAAATATAATTAATTACAAGTTCAAATTTGAGATCTGTCTTATAATTGTCATTTAGTGTTTGATTTTTATATATCTGGTCCTAGTTATATTCATATGTGACACAAAATTTCAAACATTTCTCTCCCACTAACATTAAATAAGTTTATCTAGCCACATATATCCATGGGAAAAGTCAGATGTTATAGGTTCAAATCACAATTCTGTCATATACCATCTGACCTTGGGAAATTTATTTAGTCTCTTAAAGATTCAATCTTCCTCCATCTGATGGAGGTGTTAATTCACATTGATATTTTGCACAATGCATATCACACAATTGATAATAAATGCTTACTCTTTATTTTTTTTTTTAATTAGGATAACAGGAATTTAGGAAAACTAGATGTTAAGACTGATAAAATACAAGAAAGTCAAGACAATATTTAGAAGTAACAAAACAACTTCACTATCTCATCTACTGACTAATAACTTAAAAAGCTTGAAAAATTTTCTTTTGATGGTTATGATCTCTTATTTCTCTTGCCAATAACTGCATATGTAAACTAATAGAATAAATTATGCAAATAAACATTGATTTGTATGATATACAATTTATGTTAATGTACATACATACATGTAAATCAAAATATAGCCTCCTTTTTGTTAACTCAATATTATAAGAAATTGTGCTTCTAGTTAGTATGAAAGTCATTATTTATATAATTGTTTATATAACATTCTGTGCTTAGCCCTAACTGTTGTCTGTCCCACAGTAGTTCAAGTGATGGAGTAGGATTATTTGTTATGGCAACATTATTCTTGCTACCCCTTAAATTGGTATAAGTATACAGCATCAAGGATTTAGTCACCATTGTTCTTAGTGAATAAATGAAGCACTATAAATGTAGAGCTTTTGAGGTTACATATTGGCAAATTTAAGATTTACATGAGACCAAAATTCCAAAGTTCTGAAGAACCAAAAATCGCCAAAAGAATGACCTTGGATATAGGAGCCAGATTTCCATAGACAGACAGTCTGTGTCCCTCCAAAATTCATGTTAAAACCTAACCTCCAGAGCAATAGTATTTAGCAGCAGGGTCTCTAGGAGATGATTAGTTCAGGAGGGGCTCTCCTTCCTTAATGGGGTTAATGTCCTCATAAAAGATGACCAACAGAGCTTGCTTGCCTCTTAAGATATATGAGGATACATAGAAGGTACTGTCTATGAAGAAAAGTACCTTCAGCAGACAGCAAAGGTACTGGGGCCTTGATCTTGGGCTTTCCTCCCAAAAGAGCTGTAAGGTACATTTCTGTTGTTTATGAACTACCCAGTCTAGAGTATTATTATACCAATCCAGTGGACTGACAGTTGCCACAGAAGTGGAAGAAGGTCTTTACCCTACTCCAAGATGGGAAAGATTTTCTTACATGTAAGCTGATCAGTGTGATTTTTTTCTGTCTTATTCTTTAATTAGAGGCCAATAAAATTCTATAGGAACAAAAACTTCTGAGGTTTTTTGTTTGCTTGTTTGTTTGTTTATTTCTTGTTTTGTTTTGTTTTGAGTCAAGAACTCTTAGAAGCAAAATGAATGGGTGTGGAGAGTTGAAAAGATTCAGGTTGTATTATAACTAGCTTTCAAAGTATCATATTTCTAAGAGTCCTTTATTTTAAAGAGTTTTATTCCAGCCAATAATATAATAAACCTGAATTTTTTCTGTAAACCTTACCAAGGAACTACCAAATTTGAGTTTAAACACTTCCAGTGACAAGTAGCTTTCAGTCAAATAAAGTTGAATCCTTTTCGTCTTTCTTTCACTTTTGTATTATTGCTAAGTCCTTTCTACTTTTTTTTTTTGAGTTCCAAGATATTAGTATTGGTCTTCCACCTAGATTCACTAACTAATCTTCTATCTGATATTCTTTTGAATATTTGAAATTACATAGCACATC